CTTGCCACTTGATAATCTTTATCAGCAAACATGAAATACATTTTATATTGTGGTTGCTTTATTCATTCCACTCCATCCGACCCCTTGTTAATAAAAGGAAATAATGTGTAACGAAAGCAAGTAATGGTTCTTTTAATGCACAAAATTTTCTATCTGATGAGCTTAGAATCAATCCTTGTCAAATCCGAGTGCTTTAAAAACGAAGAATAAAAGTGGCCATTTTATTCTGACTTACTCGTTATATCAGATGAATCCTAGACGAAAATCCATTTTTTTTGTTTTAAGTAAAACTCGATTCACGTGTGTAACATGGATGCTCAATCTGCGGTAAAGACCTTCGTATTCAACAACTAAATTCTCCATCCACTTATCCTTCACTCGATTTTGATAATGGATGAAAATGCACAACACCTTGCTCGAATATTCAAGACAAATAGATGATTGTCTCACTTAAAGTCGAACCCAAATAATATAGACATCAAAGAGGTCATATCTTAGCTAATACACTGATTTATCACAATAATACTTTGAAATTTTATATCTTTCTGGCAACACATTGATGAATGATTTGAGTGTCAATTAATTGTTTTGAATAGTGAAACCAATTCGATCACTGAAAATAATGTGGATCAGCAGGTAAAGGGTGTGGGTGTGGGTTTGGCTATCAATCTCAACTACAATCTCCCCACACCCACATCCGTACCTGCACAGCCACATCCACACCCTCTTATAAAGAATTGTATGCAGGTCTACCACAACATTCGGTAACTTAATAGTTTCAGGAAAATGATATAGACTAGTTCAATATTTCTAGAGGGCTCAGACGATTTAGTTAAGAAGCAAGTACTCGGCAATACGTCGATTATACCATAGAAAATACATAAAAAGTATGTTGTGCACCAATGCTCTGACACTAAGATGATTTTTATCGAATTAAACATTCAGATCACCGATAGAACCATCAACATTTATCCTTTTCTTTACCTATTTGAGAACATGCAACAATCATAATTCTCATTGTTCTTATTATTTGATACTGCCACAACTTTGATCATTTGGACATTCGAATTATTCTCGTTATTCTAAAATTTCAAAAATTTCACAATTTCGAATATTCTGATAATTCTAAAATTTTTGCGGCTAAATTTTGTATATGATAAACGAGATATCCAGAATTCCAATAAGAGTTCTAGAATCTTAGGAGTGAGACACGTTTTATCGAAAAGGAACCATAGAAACTAGTAGTAGTCCATTGTCTTTTACTAAAACTTTCAATTTCTGCTGTTTGTTTCTTTCTATTACTTAAGTCAGTAAAAGTTATGTTACTAGAAACATCTGTCAAATTATGAAGGAATGAAAAAAAAATATTTATTTCATAAAGCAAAAATAGCCAATGAAATACAATTTCAAGGACAAAGAGCGACTGATTGACGAATAATAAGATGTGTGTCTATAGAAAATGAGAGACGGTCATTTACTTCGAGCAAGCCATGATGATCTTCATGTTCATATATAAGAGAAATGGAATTATTATTATTCTGAGAACTGACAAAAATTTCATAGATCTTATTATCAATAGTCAAATCAAGAACAAATCCCTGATATTTAATACCATGAAAGATCAATTTAGTTGCTTGACCTGGTAGATGACCATGAGGCTTAAATTCAAGTTCACTTAATTTTAGGCGAATGCCACCATAACCGAAAAGAACAGCTTGTAAAAAATCTCCAACACCAGTTATAAAATTAACTGCACCAACACCTGATTGAGTTTCAGTCTATACCTGTCGTATCGCAATAAAATGATTAAAAAAAAAAGTAAAAGAAAAATTATTTAAATGACTAACATTAAATGGAGGTCGTGCATAACTTTCGTACGAACGTCGAAAAAGTTGATCAGCTTTATCGAGATCACCTAATTCAGTAAATCCAATTGAATAAATTGACCAAGTCATAGCTGCTCCATCAGCATGTGTTAAAGGTTCATAAGCTAATAAATCATTTTGTCTTACTTCATCATTCATTGGCCACATCAATGGAAGTCCAAAAAGAACAACATCGGCTTGTTTAATAGTAGTATGCTCTAGACAAATAGATATGATCAATTAGAATTATTTCAAATAAAAGCGTATCAAGTCAATTACTTACTTAAATCAAAATCTTCATATTCGAGATAAGTTTTAGTTGAATTATCGAAAGGAAAATATAGATTATACGCAATATCCAACCATTTCGAAGGTATCGTTTTATTAGTAATGCAACTAACATTATGAGCCAATTGAATAGAAAGTGAAGCAATTGCATTTGTATAAATAGAATTATTTTTGAATGGTTGAGCATCTTCATCGGGTGGTAAAACGGCTAATAGAAAATAAAATACAATATTAAAGAGTTTTATTTCAGAGAAACGATTTACTCAAGATTTCATATTGTATTGTCTCATTATTATACACGGCTCGTGAATTCCACAATCGAGCTGTTTCCTAAATTAATTCTCCACCAAGTGTGGGTGTGGGTGGGGTGTGAGTGTGGGTGTGGGTGGGTGTGGGTGTGGGTGTGGGTGTGTGGGGTGTTAGTGTGGGTGTGGGTATGGATGTTTCAATCTCGACTCATACTCCCCCACACCCACACCCACACCCACACCCACACCCAAAATAGAATCTCGCAATCTGATTGGTCCATTTTTTGACCAATCAGATTTTAGGAGCGCTTTTCTTTCTTATTGTCTGGACAACCACTAGTCATGTTGGGGCCGATCCTAGGGTTATCGAGGATGCTCTATCGAATGAGGGGTATATGTATGGGGCTTTGCCCTAGATATTACCGAGAAATAGAATCTCGCAATCTGATTGGTCTATTTTTTCACCAATCAGATTTTAGGGGACCTGTTCTTTCATATTATCTGACCAAGTACTAGTATAGCAGGAGAAGGGTACCCCTATAGTAGGACTTGAAAACCTAATGGTACCAGTTACCAGTAACGGTAACTTCCTACCCCTAGACGTTAACTTTAAAAAGTTTAAAGGTAAACTTTAAAGTATGATCACTTTAACTTTAATTTTAAAGGTTAAAGTACCACTTTAAACTTTAACTTTAACTTTTAAAGTAAAGTTAAAGTGCCACCCACACTGGGGGTCTGGGTATTGTCTGAAGAACAGAAACAACACCCACACCAACACCCACCCACACCCACACCCCACACTCACACCCACACCCACACCCATTAAATTATATTTTTATGTCTTCATTATTGCTTTTCTTGATATTAATAAGTTCTATTGATTGAACTATTAGCCACTGGTATTGTGCAGTAATTTAGATGAAGCAATTCTGTATAGTAGGGTGTGGGTGGGTGTGGGTGTGAGTGTGGGTATTGTCTGAAGAAAAGAAACAACACCCACATCCACACTCACCCACATCCACACCCACACCCTTTAAATTATACTTTTATGTCTTCGTTATTGCTTTTCTTGATATTAATCAGTTCTATTGATTGAACTATTAGCTACTGATATTGTGCAGTAATTTAGATGAAGCAATACTGTATAGTACATTTACGAAACAACTTTAACTTTGAACTCTACAGGAAATAAAAGTCGAAAATTTCTTGTCGATTTCACAGGGTAACCCTGTCCTGCCCTGCCAGTAATCGTGGCAGGACAGGGTGTGTTTTTTTTCTAAGTATTTCTGGTCCATAGGGCAGGGTAAAACAGAGCAGGGTGCAGGACAGGACAGGGCGAAAAAAATTGCCCTGTGGACATCTCTGGTGTGAGTGTGGGTATGGGTGCGATGGTTGTGGACATGGATTATACATCACATCTACCTACCCATACCGATAGTCACACCCACAACCACATCCAAACCGCACCCCACACCCACACCCTCAATTGGTTGTAAAGCTTGAATCATATATTTCGAAAGTTCACATATAAAACTTACATTTTACAAAAATTGTTTACATCATGATATCTTGTTTATTGATTACAAAAAAAAATAATACTATCTAGTACTAGTAGCATCAAATGAAAATCATTGCTGACTGTAATTCTATAAAATATAATCACTAACTAACAAAATACTTCGAACAAAATTCAATTATATTTGATTAGTATTATGTATCTGTTCTGGCAAATTGTGAAGTCTTTAAAAAGAAAATTGAATTTAAATAAATTAAAAATGGAAAGGAAATATTAATCTTGATTTTGTTCAATATTTTGCAGTGCAGCTGCGATTTGATTTTCCTTTTCATGTTTCAATGTATACCACCAATAATCACCAGCTATTTCTTTTTTTCTTCGCATTTCATCACTATCTACCATTAGGAAAAACAAATCAGAAAAATCTTTCAGTATATTTATATTATACTAGAAAATTTTACTTTTTAATTCTTCTGCACTATCATTTTCATTCAAGTCCCACCAGTGGGTAGATTTCCAAAAAAGGAAATTTTCCTGCTAAATATTCATATTTGGGAAAACTGCAACCATACAAAATGCAATTTTCAGAAAATATCAGAAACTACCGTAACTACCGCAATAGTATTCAAAAAACAACCATAAACCAAAATAATGAAATTTCCCGGAAATTTTTTGAAATTACCTTCATAACGGAAAACAAATTTTCCGAAAATTTTGGTAAATACTCATACTACACAATGAAATTAGCAGATAATTTCTATAAATACCAAATCCCCAAAAGGATATTTATCAGTAATTACGGAAAATACGAGCACATGCGGACGAAATTACCAGAACATTTCTATAATTCCCAAATTATTTCGTATAGATATAATAAAATACATATAGATTTAAAGAACCCACCACCAAGTAGTAAAAGAATTTTTGATAATTTCAGTAATTACCTCGAAACTTTAGTAATTACGAGAATTTCTATAATTTCTTTATTTATATCATATAGATACGATGAGATAGATATAGATTTAAGGAGCCCTAACCCAAGAAGTAGAAGAATTTTTGGTAATTTTGATAATTTCTAGGAAATTTTAGTGATTGCGAAAATTTCTATGATTTCTTTATTTTTACCATACAAATATCATGAGATAGATATAGATTTGAAGGCCCTTACACCAAAAAGTAGAAGAAACTATAGAGATTTTTGTAATTACTAAAATTTCTTAGGAATTATCAAAATTATCAAAAATTCTTCTATTTCCTGGAGACAGGGCTTCTTCAATATATATCTATCTTATCATATCTATATGATAAAAATCAAGAAATTATAGAAATTCCCTTTTGTGGATTTGGGATTTACGGAAATTATCTTGTAATTGCGTTCTATAGTGTAAGTGATTACCGAAATTTTCGAGAAATTTCTTTTCTGTTGTGGAAGTAATTTCCGAAATTTCCAAAACATTTTGTTCACATGTGTCTGACAATTCGAAAACGTCACGGAAATTTCTTTCTCATTGAATAGTAATTACAGAAACTTCTATGAAATTTCTCTTGATGCGCATGAGTGTCTGGAGATGGTATCAGAGGTGTTTTGGTATTTTCGGAAAATTCCTTCTTCGGAAATCTGAACATACCTCTTAAGTCCCCTGTTCTTGTTTCTATTCTATTGATAGTTGATTGTTGGCATTTTTTGATCAAACATCGAACAATATGATATAGATTAGGAACAGTATGAAATGGTGGTGGTAATGGAGATTTAACACTATATTCGGTAACAAGTAAATAACGTTGATAACCCCATATTTGATTAGATTGCTCTTCAACATATTGTATTGTCACACTGCAAATAAAAGCAAAACAAATAATTTATCATTTTTAGTCAGTTTTTCTACAATACTTGAATAAAGCCACAAGTACACTAAGAAGAAGTACATTAGCAATAGCAACGAATAGTATATCCAATATAAAAGCTACATTAGAATATGCATCTATGCGATCTAGAAAAAGAACAATATTATTCTTGACAAAAATTCAATTATGATTACCTTGACTGAATGACTCGACTTGTCCAAAAATTTTCCAAACACCATAATTTATCACATGACGTATTATGTACCATGTCCATAAATTACTCCCTTGACCTGATACTGTCACATTAAACAAGGATCCATTACTATTATAATACCAATCAACTTGATCATGTGTAGTAATCAATGACCACGATGCTATTGAAAATGCTAATAAAAATATAAGAATAAAACAAACAAAAAAGAATAGATCCTTCATCTAGTAACAAAATAAAGCAAATCAAAATATGAATAAATTAGAACAAAATATCAATAATTAACCGTATTGAAAATCATAATTAATTTTGGTCCTAATTTTTGAAAAGCAGCAAATAAATTTAATATACGAACAAACCAAAATATCAAATCAAGACACATGAATATTCTAAAAATAATTTCAAAAGAAAATAGATAACATAATTCAAAAGAAAATAGATAACATAATTTAAAAGAAAATATATTATCAAAAAAAAGTAACTTTCTTTGATATAATAAATGTTGTTTCAAGAACAATGAATCGTGTAATGAAACCAATAAGATATAAGATAATTGCAAGAATATCAAGCATATTCCATTTACTAGATATATATACTTTGCTTGATTGTGCAGATAAAATCTAAAAATAATAACAA